ATAGATAAATGTAATCCTGACTGACAGTCCTATAATTTAAAAACTTTATTCCATCTATAAACCATAGTTCTGCCTCTGGTTCATGAAAATGTGACTTCTTTTCCTTGGAGAAAAAGTGGAGATTTATGGCTCCCCAACTGAGTTGGATGTTTATGTGTCATAAAGGGATTTTAATAGAATTGTTACCATTATTTTGTAGGCTCTAATTGCTTAACTTACAGCTAGTGAAGGAACACAATTATCAAAATGAGAATTCTAACTCTATTTCAAAATGTTTTTGGCAAACAAACATATGCAGTCATAAAATGTGCATATGGCTACCGAAAGCTTGAATGCATATCCTTATTCCAATATTGCTGTATTATTTTTTCCACATTGAAGAAAACAACCCTACAATGAAGTATCTTAACTATTTGCCTCATAGGCGAATAAGAGAAGTATTTAAATGTGTCATTCCACTAGGACAAATGGTATTATACTCAGAGATGCCGAGTTGTTATTGTGTTATCCATTTATATTTGTTTCCAAAATATTGGCATGCAAGGCGGTTTTGTTGTTTGTTTTGACATAATTTCTAATTTAGAGTAGCTATAAGGCAAACTTAGCATAGGGTTTCTTGGCAGGATTTGTGCCTTTGTCTTTCTCTGAGGATGAGAGAGTGTGACTTGCCCAGGGTCACCCAGTGGATTTCAATAGCCAAGCGAGGATTCAAATGTTGGAAATAGCAACCTACTACTAGCCTCCTATACTAGTTATTTGTTATGTATAGGACACAGATTACTTATTATATTGTATATGTGTATATTAGGCCTGGGTAACAACGGAAAAATTTGTTTCTAAAATCGATTTGTATTTGGGGGTTTTTTTGTTTCGATATTTAAAATAATTACAAAATTTTCCTTTTAAAAAGTTCGATATTTACAAAATTTCGTAAATGTTAAAAAAATTACAAAACATTAACGAATCGATTTCCGAAACAATAACGAATCGATTCGTTAATGGCGGACGCGACCGCGAAATACGCTAAAAAACCTCCAAAAACTTCTGAAGCTTCCCTCTCCCTCTGTTGTTGACTGTTGGTGTGATATTATAATTTTTTTTCACTAATTAAACAAAAAACCTGCCCCAGACATGCGGAAATAATAACGAAACGACCTCAGAACAATAACGAAACGAATACAATAACGAAATACGAAGCATTTACAAAACGTGTTTAAAAATTCGTTTTTTAAAAAATTGCTCCAGAATGGTTCGTTATCGTTTTGTAATTGAAAAAATTAACGAATTATTAACGAATTACGAATTAACGAAACGAAACCGCCCAGCCCTAGTGTATATTGGTATGCAGTTTTCCCTTAACTCTGGGTTGTTTGAGGTTGTGGGAGGGACTACTGACCATATAGTCAGGGACTATTCAGACTGAGACTCCATTTCAGAAGTATTATATTGCATTGTATTGTCAGTGTTTATATTGTGTTCAGTAATGTATCAGACTGCTTTGAGTTCTGTATTGCATGCAACAGAGAAGAAACAGCAACAGAATCCCTTAGAGAACTTACTGTTTAAACTTTCAGTTGATAAGCAATGTACCTGTATGTTGAATACATGAAGTTTTTAAGTAAACCAACTATGTTTTTTTTAACGAAGACTACTTATTTTTTGTCTCTTGAGAGCATATTTAAAACCAAATACATTTTATGGAAGAGTAGATTTTTTTGAGTAACTGAAATAACAGTTCTTAAGATCTACTACATTTGTTTATTGGCATACTCTTTGTTGCTAACATTTCAAAGAAGTAACCAGGTATATCAGTCTAACAACTGAGAAACCTAAATTGCCTTGCATGAATGCTAGTGGACACACACACACTTCACTTGTATACCGCTTTTCTCAACCCAGCAGGGGACTCAAAGCAGTTTCCAACATAATTATGGCAAAATTTAATGCCTCACATACAGAAACCTAACATAACGATAATTACATACCGTTATCAATTAAAGCATAAAACATGACATCATTTAACATTAAAACATGGAATTAAAAACATATCAATATAAACATGAAAATCACAGAATCCAAGAATAATAGTCCAGGCCATTCAAAATATCATATCTATTGCACTCAAATAATTTTTTTAGCTCTTCTCAGGAAGATCATACTTTACAAAATGGTTATGATTATTCCAAATGGTGTGAATGCCAATTCATCTCCAAAAGGTCACGCTTCCAAAAGGTTATGCTTCCAAAAGGCCATGGAGATTCTGGTTTTCCAAAATTAAATCCTGGTCTCCAGGGCCCTTGTAAAACACTCAACCCACTTCACCATGCTTCAAGACAGTTTACAAAATATAAAAATAATAAACAGAGTTAAAACACAAAAAATAGTAAAATGCGTACGTGTTTTTTAAAAAAAGATTAATCTATAGAATTGAAGCCATTTAAATTTTCGTTAAAGGGAAGGATGTAAAACAATAAAAAGACATATCATGAAAATCTAATTGCAGTCAGCTCCTGAAGATCTGTTAGAATAGGAAAGTTTATACATGTTGATACAAGAAGTCTAAAGAGGGAACTATCTTAACCCAAGAGGGAATTCCAGAGTCTGCTAGAAAGGCAGAATTCACTGCTAGTTGCAAAACCAGTTGCACAAGAGGAGGAAAGTTTTGGGGCTACAAGAAGAGTTCTGCTACTATTTGGACAACTAGAAAAACAAACTAGCTCCAGTAGTACATACGTTTTGTGGCTAACTTTATGTTGGATTTAAGGCTAGCACTGAAATTATATGCAAGTCTGTTTTCAAGAGTTGAGCTTTTAATTTAACAATTTCTCCTGCTTATAACCTGAGCTAAAGCTATGAGGTCCTAGATTTTCTGGTTAAAAAGAATAACATGTAAAAGTGAATTGATTTAGTAAATAGTTAATTATTATCGGAATACATTGTACCTTAAATAGTAAAGATGAAGGTTTCCCCATGACTTTAAGTCTAGTCGTATCCGACTCTGAGGGGTGGTGCTCATCTCAGTTTCTAAGCCGAAGAGCCTGTGTTGTCCGTAGACACTTCCAAGGTCATGTGACCTATAAAGCTCTATACAGTTCTGGCCCAGCTTACTTGTCCGAACGCATCCACCCCTACATCCCACCTCAAAACCTAAGCTCCCGTCAACAGCACAAATGCGCCTGGCAGGAACGAGAGACAGGGCCTTCTCAGCAGTGGCCTCCCGCCTATGGAACACACTCCCAACTGAGGTAAGGTCAGCCACCTCCTTCCTAGCTTTTCGAAAGAAATTAAAGGCATGGTTTTGGGACCAGGCTTTTGGACAATATATGCAAGCAGCACTTTAAGGGAATGTGACTGGAACGATGATATGGCTGATGAGACTGTTTTACTGTTTTAATGATCGCTTATGCATTGTTCATTATGTTTTTTACGTCTAATTGTGGTTTTAATTACTGTAATTTGTTATGTAATGGCTTCGTAATGGAGCCATTGTAAGCTGTCCTGAGTCCCCCTTCGGGGGTTGAGAAGGACAGAATAGAAATGCGAGAAATAAATAAAATAAATGACTGTATGGAGCGCTGTTATCTTCCCGCCAAAGCGGTACCTATTGATCTACTCACATTTGCATGTTTTTGAATTGCTGGATTGGCAGAAGCTGGGGCTAACCGTGGGAGCTCACCCTACTCCCCAAATTCGAACCACCGACCTTTCAGACAGCAAGTTCAGCAGCTCAGCAGTTTAGCCCTCTACTCCATCGGGGACTCCTCTAACTTAAATAGTAGATATACAAAATACAATTTTGTAAGCAGATCAACATATTGCCCCTGATGGTGCAATGGGTTAAATTCTTGTGCCAGCAGGACTGATAACCGACAGGTCAACAGTTCAAATCTGGGGAGAGCAGGTTGGGCTCCCTCTGTCAGTTCCACTCCCCATGTGGGAACATGAGAGAAGCCTCCCACAAGGATGGAAAAATATCAATCATCCGGGCGTCCCCTGGGCAACATCCTTGCAGACGGCTAGTTCTCTCATACCAGAAGCAACTTGCAGTTTCTCAAGTTGCTCCTAACACAAAGAACAAAAACAAAAACATTTGTGTAATTTATTTTATGTTTTTAGAATAACAAAACAATGCAAAATCTATGAGGATGCTAAAGATATATATCAAACTGTGTCTAGAGATGCCAAGAACTGAAACTGGGATTGTCTTCTGTTTGCTAATCAAGCTATCGTCTTTCAGTTTACACGGCATATTGTCAGTCAAAACAAATTCAATCTAGACTGAAATCTGCAAAGAAATGAAAATGCAATGGTAGCTTTTCCTAGTAATGTGTGTGTGGGGGGGGGGGATCTCAGAATTGTGTATAATTGGTATGTTTGAATATGTATGTTTGCGTGCATATGTGTGTGTATGTATATGGGGGGGGAGAGAAAATAATATAGAGTTGGAAGAGACTACATGGCTATCCAGTCTAATCTCAATGTCTCTCCCCATATATATATATTATTTAAGTGTGTGTATGAATGTCAATTTCCCGTAAACACAATCTCTCATGGCTTGTCTAGGCTGCACTTTGTTGAATAAAGTGTGTGCATGCACAAAAACAAACATATATATGCACTCCATATTTCTCCAACATGTTACCAGGCGGTCTTTCTCTTTCCCGAATACCCCACCTTTTTAAATAAACAAAGCTACAATATACAATTTATATCTTTTCTAAAATAATTTCATCTTCTATTAGCAGTATAGATCTTCAACACAGTTTTATGACACTACAGCGACTTTGGAGTTGTAATGTTTTAATTCAAGATGCTAGTACGAATTCTGTAATAAAATGCTGTAATAGACCACTAGGTCTTATGAATTATCCAGTAGTCTCTATATTCAATATGTTGATGATATTATTAAAGGAACGGAAACATGTTTTATCTAATAAACTGCAGTGCCTCTCCATACTTCCTATATCCATGACATTAACTGTAAATATTTTATGTTTCAGATATAATTAAAGAACAGAACAAGGAACTAAGAGGCACACAGAGAGCTATAGTAAGAGACCGGGCTGCTTTGGAGAGACAGGAAAAACAACTGGTGAGTAGATCAAGGACTCTTCCTTCATATTTTATAAGTAATGTAACTAAAATGATCATGGCAAAAAGAAAACGGGTTTGTGATTGTATTCTGTAATTTTTGGTTTCTGAATAATTTCCCCCTTTCCCGAAGGAGTATCACCAAAATGGTTTTGTTTTTAAAAGATTGGGCACTATGTAAATATGTAAATAATTTGGGGGGGGGGGAGTATTTAGAGAAATAGAGGATATAATGAACATTAAAATAGAATCAAGTCCTAGTATAGCTTTATTATCATTATATAAGAATAAACAATTAAAAAGAGTATAAAGATGCGATAACAAACTTATTAACAATAGCAAGACTGCTTATAGCAAGGAATTGGAAAAGAGAAATAAATATACAAATAGCAGAGTGGTACAAGGAAGTATGGAAATTGGCAATAAATGATAAGCTGACATATATATTAAAAGTTAAAAGAGGTATATGGAAACAAAGTGATTTTGATGAAATATGGAGAAAATTTATTGAAAAAATATTTAAAAAGAAAGAAGGAAAGTTACCTCCACAGGAAGATTGAAATTTTGGACAGATGATATGTAAAAGCTGTGGCTTGGGAGGGGGGGGGAGGGGGCACAGGGATGAGAGATAGAAGATATGTATAAGTAGAAAACTAACAGTAGATGCCAAAAGTTAAAGTATGATAGATTGTATTGAATAATATGAATCTGCTGCAAAATAAACAATGTATAACAAATGTATTGAACTATGATAAAATAATAAATAAATATTTAAATAAATAAATAAAAGATTGGTCACTTTGGTTCTCTACTTGTGTAGCCATTGCCTGAAAGAAATTATTATGTTAGGGATGAAACACACCATATAAACACAACTTTATTTTTAACCAATAGGAGTTAGAAATAAAGAAAATGGCTAAGACAGGAAACAAAGAAGCATGTAAGGTGCTAGCAAAGCAGCTTGTGCAGCTGAGAAAACAGAAGACTCGAACCTATGCCGTTAGCTCAAAAGTTACATCCATGTCGACGCAAACTAAACTTATGAACTCCCAGATGAAGATGGCAGGAGCAATGTCAACAACAGCAAAGGTAAGCAAAGTATCCTGTTGTTGCCAGTCACTAATGTTTTACTGCATGAAATGTAGCTTACAGTTAGCTTTATTTATTTATTTATTTACACTATTACCCCCGCCATTCTCTAACCCAAGGGGGGACTCACGGTGGCTTATATATGGCAGTTATTCAGTGCTTTAAACACATACAACATTAAGCTTAAAATCCATTAAATTAAAATTAATACATATTAAAAATTTAAAAAATTACATTCAATATTAAAAACACGCCATCCAAAAATCGTAGTCTGAGGCCGTTCCGTATTCATGGCACATATTCCAATTATACTATATTGTTGCACTCCTTCTCCAAAGTCCTTGTCCCAGAGCCAGGTTTTTACTCCCCTTCTGAAGGCTAGGAGGGAGGGGGCTGATCTAATGTTGCTTGGGAGGAAGTTCCACAGCCGAGGGCCCTGTGTCTCATCCTCACCAGTTGCACTTGCAAAGAAGGTGGGATCGACAGTAGGGCCTCCCCAGAAGATCTCCAAGGTGGTTATTAGGGGGAGATATGTTCAGACAGGTAAACTGGGCTGGAACCGTTTAGGGCTTTATAGGCTAAAGCCAGCACCTTGAATTGTGTTTGGTAGCAGACTGGCAGCAAATGGAGCTGACGTAACAGCGGGGGTTGTATGCCCCCTGTACACCACTCCAGTGAGCAACCTGGCTGCCACCCAGTTATAACTTCAACTGCTTATAGATTGTCTTATTCAAAGAAGCTAAACTGATATGTGGCTGACCACTAACTAAAGTCTCAAAATATGTGACAATATTATATTATATATAATCTTATATACAACTTTATATACAACCTGGCATATAAATCTATGGGGGGGGGGGATTTGCCTATTATTCCCCTTCTAGTTTCTCTCTGTCACTTTGTTTTGCAATTGAAGTGAAAAAAGTATAATATAACCCTATTTTTGACTGTGTGACCATGGAAACACTTGCTTTTGACTATTTAATGAGCTGTGAAAGTGTGAAAGGTGCATGTATGGAGGTAACAGACATGTGGCTTTTTACAGGTCAGTATTTTAGAAGGATTATGATAAAGTAAACTTACCATAATCCTTCTAAAATACTAACCTGTGCATTAGGGATGCGGAGTTAGAATGGAAGAATGTGGTGAATTCTGATTGGCTGGAATATGATGTTTGGAACTAGAGAATGAAAAATGACAGTTAGGGTTTAGATTTTATGGTGGGAGGTAGCTTTTGTGGATAGGAGTAAATTATAGATAGAGAAGGTAGGGATTTAGACTTCAGTGCCTTAGAATAAAGATCACCAGAAGAAGGTAAGCGACAATCCACCAGCAGTCACATTCCCGCTCTTGATATCTTCCTCTTCAAGATGTCAGCGGTCTCCATAGGTTACTATAGATATGTATCAGATTTTCACAGGAAATATTGAAATTCTGTAGGCTGTTTTTTTTTTTTATTCTGTAGAGTCTTAAATCTGCAGGTGCTTGGTTCTGTAAACTATTGTACATACAAACTTGGTACAGTATTAAGCCTTTTGAATTGTCAGCCCTGGGTAACAATTAGCTTGGTGGGCTCAAAAGGCAGGCAATAATCGATGCGGGTGTCTCTAGTATCAAAAGAAAAAAACAGATTTATTCCAAAACTTTAAGAAATGGTGTATTTTACAACAGTGGTTTTATACTTTTAAACCGCCTTGAGTCGCTGATAGTCTGAGAAAGACGATATACAAATATAGTAAATAAATAAATAAATAAATAAATAAATAAATAAATACTTTGGCTTATCTCTACCAGCTAACATTGTCTCTTGTCCTTTCTGGCCAATGAGAAATGAACGCCTCTTTCTCTTTGACTTATGTGGTCAACAGGCATGGGTTTGGCTCAGTTAGCAAGCACCTCCTATCCACCCATTGACCAAGAAAAGACCACTCTTTGGAGTTGGGAGCCTGTGCAATCTTTTTTTAACCATGGAAACCTTGCCAAATAGAGACCAAAAGTTTCAGTTGTCAATTTAAGGTTCTCAAATTGAGTGAAACATTTTCTTAAGAAGTATTTCATGCATTACAAAAGAGAATATACTTCATTACAAGTTTTTATTATATTGGTCAATTTTAAAATATATATATATAAAAATTAAGATTGTCCCAGGATTGTTTCTAACAGCTGGTAAGGTGGCTGGGATTTTTGGAAGTTGAAGTCCAAAACACCTGGAGGCCCAAAGGTTGGGACCACTGTCCTTATCTGTTCTCACATTAGTATCCCATAGATTACATTGGTTAGAATACATAGAGATATCTCATTTTATCCTCATAATGTCCCTTTGATTTTGGTGACAGACGTCTTTTGAAATTTCTCTGAAACTGTATGGCAGAGCAAATATATGGAGACATTTTCTTGCCCTCCAGTTAGAGCAGTGGTTCTCAACCTGTGGGTCCCCAGATGTTTTGGCCTTCAACTCCCAGAAATCCTAACAGCTAGTAAATTGGCTGGCATTTCTGGGAGTTGTAGGCCAAAACACCTGGGGACCCACAGGTCGAGAACCACTGAATTAGAGGCACTGAAAGCATGAGCTGGTGGAGTGTCTCCTATTCTCACCAAATTAGAATTCTTACCTTGGACTGTAGTTTGGGAGAATTTGGAAGTATATGGAAGGGCTGGTATTTGATTTTGGGGAACTTATCTTTCTTACCTTTCTTCTGGTTCACTGCAATGTCCTTATTCATCATTACAAAGCCACGAAGTTTTGGTGACCTAACAAATAAGTGTTTTTGTCCCTTGAAAAGTTCGAGGACCTAACCTGAAAACTATTCTTATAAACTAAGTTGTCACTATATCTCAATAATGTTATACAGATGCTTTTTGTAAAAAAAAATCAACAAAATATATCAGAATATGCCTGTTAACCTCACACAATACACATTCAAACAAGAACTTTTATGCCAGCAAATGTTTTTCATTTCACTGTGTAAATCAGCCTTCTTCTACATTTATGGATCAAAGTTTGCTTTCTGTAAATTTGATATTGCAGGAATGTGACAAAAGTTATTTCTTTGTGTGTGACACCCTCAATAATAGATATTTCAGTGTGGTTTATCAAACATGAAAAAAGATAAGTAAAATAATACAAGAGCAAGCACAGTGGTAAGCTACATGGTCAATTTTCCAGTTATTCAAAACTATATGAAAGATAACTCAAAATCCTGTCAAATCCCTCCACTCTCTAATGTACATTGTGGAAAATATCTATAAAAAGTCATCCCCACCCCTCAAAACTCCTGTAAAATGTATGTGGCAGCTAAAAGATAAGGGAAAGCAAGCTACCTCTACATCAGAGAAAGTGATGCTTTCTCTGAAACTTAAGTCTGGTTTACCTGACACAAGCTAATGTCCGACTATAATTTATGAAGTTGACTTGTTTCAATAAACCCTGATTAAGATTAACTAAAATTTAGAGTTAAATTTAGTAAAATTTAGAGTGTGAAGCTGAACAGTGGTTAATTAAAAAACAGAGCTTCTGAGCGCTTCTCATTAACGAGGGAGGAAGTAAGAAGAGGGGCCCAAGGTCTCTTTGAGTAATTAGTAATTTGTTCAGACCATATCAATACCAGAAATAAGTAGAGTCTCTCTTATCCAGCCTTCGCTCATCCAACGTTCTGTATTATCCAACGCAGTCTGCCTCCTGCCCATATCCAAAGCTGTTTCAAAACATTGCTATGTTTTGGTGCTAAATTCGTAAATACAGTAATTACTACATCATATTGCCCTGTATTGAACTGCTTTTTTTGTCAGTTTGTTGTAAAACATGATACTTTGGTGCTCAATTTGTAAAATCATAACGTAATTTGACATTTAATAGGTATTTCCTTAATCTCTCCTTATTATCAAACATTTTCGCTTACACAATGTTCTGCCAGCCCATTTATGTTGGATAAGTGAGACTCTACTGTATTAGCAATAGCTATTGTGTAATTGCACGAGGTTTGATTGCTATTTAAAGTTGCATTCCAGTGTACGAGTTTTTATAGTTTCAAGTGATCATGTACTGTAAGATTGTGTATCTCAAATTACATAGGAAACATGTGGCCTTAAAAAGTTTTGTTTTTTTTTACTTTTGAAAATTTATAAATGAGGGGTTTTTTTCCATTGTGGTATTTACATTTCTATATTCTTAAATATAAATTGTATATTGCTAGACCATGCAAGCTGTGAATAAAAAGATGGATCCACAAAAGACATTGCAAACTATGCAGAACTTCCAGAAAGAAAACATGAAAATGGAAATGACAGAAGAAATGAGTGAGTTAATTAATGTTCTTGGTTTTTTTTAACGTCCCCCAATTCTTTATCGGGTTTGCTAAGCCTGCAATGTCAAAATCAGGTTAATGGATTTCTGTTTGAATTACTTTTGTTTAGATTCTTAATTATCTGTTCAGTGTGTGTGAATGTCTTCAAGTCACCTGTCAATCTGTAGCAACCCCATGCATTTTGCAGAAAAGTGGTTTTGCCAATTTCTTGCTCTGAAATAGAGCTTGCAGCATCCAGTATTCATTGCCTGTCTCACATCTAAGTACTAACCAGAGCTGATCCTGTTTAGCTACCAGGATCAGACAGGATCTGTTGCCTTTATGGCAGTGGTTCTCGACCTGTGGGTCTCCAAATGTTTTGGCCTACAATTCCCAGCTAGTTTACCAGCAGTTAAGTTAGGATTTCTGGGAGTTGAAGGCCAAAATAACTGGGGACCCACAGATCAAGAACCACTGCTTTAGGGTATTTAACCTGTGCACAAGTTAGTTTAACTTATTCTAATTCTAAAATTTATAGAAGGAAGATTTTAAGATCAAGCCAAGGGGTGCTGTGGTTTTAGCTATGAATTGCTTTTTAGTTGGTTTTCAGGGTTTTAACGGTTTATTTTTAATGCTGTTCATGTTTAATTTCATTTTAATGTTCATATATTTTTAGGTTTTAATTATATTGAATTAATTTTATTGTGAGCCACTTTGAGTCAGTTTTTTTAGAGGGGAAAATGTAATATAGATAAAGAGTAATAATGATGATGGTTTATTGGGCTACAGTGGCATAGGGACCAGAGAATGTATCCAGAGCTGGAATGTGTCCAGAGAAGGGCAACTAAAATGATCATGAGACATGATGACCATGTATAAATATGTGAAGGGAAGTCGTAGGGAGGAGGGAGACTAGGATGCGGAACAATGGCTTCAAACTACAGGAAAGGAGATTCCACCTGAAGATTGGGGAAAACTTCCTAACTGTGAAAGCTGTTCAGCAGTGGAACTCTCTGCCTCAGATTGTGGCGGACGCTCTTTCTTTGGAGGTTTTTAAACTGAGGCTGGATGGCCATCTGTTGGGGGTGCTTTGAATGCGATTTTCCTGCTTCTTGGCAGGGGGTTGGACTGGATGGCCCATGAGATCTCTTCCAACTCTATGATCTTATGATTCTATGAAATGGACAGTCAAGTAAGAAGATTTCCTAACTGTTATGATTCCTGGTTGTGTGAGATAACTTTCAAGCATTCCATTAGAAAATGAACTCTGCATGCGCTAAAGTTCTATAAATTAAATAAACAACAAAACTATCATATGTTGGGAAATAAAAGTGATATTGAGACATATTAATACTGTTCCTGTGTTAATAAACTTCTGATTTTTATTTTATTTTTTCAAGTCAATGACACCTTGGATGATATCTTCAATGATTCTGATGAAGAACAGGAAAGTCAAGATATTGTGAATCAAGTTCTTGATGAAATTGGAATTGAAATATCTGGAAAGGTATAAAGACATTATTTCTCCCTGCCCTTGAGATGGAATCTCCCCTTGCCCTTGAAACATCATTTTTAGCAGCTCTCCTTTTGTCTGTATGTTTTGTCATCACAAGTGGTATATTTCTTGCTTGTCTCATTTTCTCTCATTTTTCTTTTAAATAGATGGCCAAGGCTCCTTCAGCTGCCAGAGGCATACCATCTGCATCGACGTCCCAAAGTACCACGATTTCAGATGAAGAGATTGAGCGGCAGCTCAAAGCCCTGGGAGTAGATTAACCTCATAGTGACACGCAGCCTACCTTCTACAATCACTCCGGTGTCGGGGGCACACATGAACATCCGACACAGGCTTCAATAAAAAACCAAATTCCCTTGCAAACCTTGCATAAGCCATTACTGGTGACAGTAAACTCTAGGAATGGTTGGGAAAGCTGTAGTTATAATAGGTTGAAAAGAATAATATGAAGTGCATCAGAGATGCAGAGTTGTGTACACTTTACCAAATTTGGATCTGCTCGAAACAGGAGCATCTGTTACATGTGGTCTAAATTTGAATAGGTTACATTCATCATCTTTTAAACCCAAAATAATCTGCATTCAAGAAATCCCTGTTTTCTTTTAGGTTTCGGATTTTGCAGTAAGTGTTTCAATGACATCTCAGTTCAATGCAGTTTCTCAAGTTGCTCCTGACATGAAAAAAATGACTTTAAGTGAAACCTCTTTTTCTTTTTTTAGTTGGAAGGTGACAATTTTTATCTTCAAGTGAAAGATATAAATGACTAGGTATTTCATTAAGCGCCTTCTTGGAAAACCTACTCTTTCCTCATCCTTACATTTAATTAAATGTACACTTCTAACATAGTCCAAGATCTTATTACAAAACTTCTGACCAATTAATGGACTCTTCTCTTGGTGCAAGGTGGTAGACTCACAGTAGTATGTGCTCGCAAAATTGGTTGCAAGGAGGCTACTAAATAACTTGTCGTACTGTAACATAGCTAACTTGAAGAGAAGTCTGTGCCTTTGTGTACATAGTGCTTGGTTTCTTTTAACCTTTGAATTGTGAAAGATGTAACGTTAAGCCATTATCTCAATCTACATAGCACTGAAGTTATGTGAACTCCACAGCAGTTGCTGCTACAAACTATGTACATTACTTCCAAAGCTGGAGATAGCATCTTCTTTTTTTTTTCTTGGAATAGCATTTGTATATACTGCTATGCAGCATTTTTCATTGAATAAGTATTAACTTTGAAAATATGTTTCATTGTCCAAGGTAGTATTTATGTTCTATGTTAAATCCCATTCTTACACACTCACTGGGATGGTGAATGTTTTCCTATTTAAGGTTAATGGGTTTACTTGGGTTTGAATTGCTTCTAATTTAGTAAAATAGTGGGTATCAATGTAATATAGGAATATATTCATGTTGTCTGTGTAGCAACATTACTGCAAGATGGGGAAATGCATTATGGAGCTGACACTAATCATGTAAATGCAAATGACCAAGGAAATAACTGCTGATTGTCACCAAACAGGACAAAGCAATTACTGTGACTGTATCACCTGGCCGTGTTCTCCATTTGAACAGAACATCAGCAATGATATTTGCGAGCCTAGGGACTCCTTGATAAAATAGATTTATGTTTTTTTCTTGATCAAAAAAGGGTCAAAGGAGTCCCCAGTACATATATAATTGGGTTTTATAATTACATAAAAAAAAGACTTTATGTGGCACTACGGTACTTTGAGTAAGTTTTCCTTTTTACAGATTTTGTAAAATCAAATAAAAGCCTTTTGCTCCTCGAGTGCTATATTCATTTGATAAAGCTAGGTATATTACTGGAAGGAAAACAGTTCAAAGGTATCAAGTGATCAAAGAATCTGCCGTCTTATACCACTTACCTCAGAAGAAACACCATTACACTCAGTGGAATTGTGTTTAAAAGAAACATATCAAAACTGTCTTTTTAAAAAGACAGGTATGTATATAATAAATATAAGTAACCATTGCTCACTGCTGGTCATATTCTTAAAATGAATCAAGAATTCAAAAATAAATGAAGCGAAGAATACATGGATTCTTGCAGAAAGTTCTGTGAATATCAACTATGGGTATATAACCCTATTGATCTGTAAATATGTACCGGTATTTCATCTTAAGTTGGAAATATTTACAAATACTGTTGAAGATAGGTTGCTGTGAGTTTTCTGGGATGTATAGCCATGTTCCAGAAGCATTCTCTCCTGATGCTTCACCCACATCTATGGCAGGCATCCTCAGAGATTGTGAAAACTAGGCAAGTGGGGTTTATATATCGTGGTGTTTATATATCTGTTGCAATGGGCCAGCTTGATTAGCATTGAATGCCCTGGCAGCTTCAAAGCCTGGCTGTTTCCTGCCTGGGAGAATCTTTGTTGGGAGGTGTTAGCTGTACATTAAAGTTAAGAACACTCAGAAAATGGGAATTCCAAACAGGAAACAATCAGGGCTAGTTAACACCTCCCAACAAAGGATTCCACCAGGCAGGAAGCAGTCAAGCTTTATTTTATTTTTATTTTTTTTATTATTAGAACTTATATGCCGCCACTCCCCTGGGGCTCGCAGCGGCTTACAAGAATGGCTAAAATCTAACAAAATTTAAAAGCAATTTAAAACAATTTAAAAACAGCAATATCAAACATTAAAAGCCTGTCGAAACAGGTATGTCTTACATGCCGTGCGGAAAACTGGTAAGTCCCGCAAGGTCTGTACTTCAGGTGGCAGAGTATTCCAAAGTGATGGTGCCACTGCTGTGAAGGCTCTGCGTCTGGTTGCTGTTAGACGCAAAGTCTTGACACTGGGAATTTCCAATAGATCTTGGTCCTCAGAATGGAGATCTCTGGGGTTGGTAGGGGGTGAGACGGTCCCTCAGGTACATCGGCCCCAGACCATGCAAGGCCTTAAAGGTGAGTACCATCACTTTGAAAGTGATCCGGTACTCAATTGGTAACCAATGCAGCTGTAGTAAGATTGGTGTTATGTGGCATCTCATCGGAATTCCCGCAAGAAGCCGAGCAGCTGCATTTTGTACCAACTTGAGCTTCCGGATCACCAACAGAGAAAGTCCAATGTAGAGGGCGTTACAGTAGTCCAGTCTTGAGATGACCGTGGCCTGGATCACCGTAGCTAGGTCGTCCCTGGACAGGTAGGGGGCCAGCCGTCTAGCCTGCCGCAGATGAAAGAAGGCGGTTCTGCTAATGGCGGAGACCTCTCCATCGTCAGCAGAGGGTCCAAAAGGACTCCCAGACTCTACCAATGATGACGGGCGTAACGCCTCGCCATCCACTGCCCGGTCGACCCAGCCATAGGATCTCCATCTTTGCTGGCTTCACCCTCAACCTGCTGGCACGCAACCATCCAGTAACAGCCTCGAGGCACTGATGGAAACAATCGGGTACAGAGTCCRGTTGGCCTTCCATCTTCAGCACCAGCTGAGTGTCATCGGCGTACTGATAACACTTAAGCCCAAAACTTCGAACCAGCTGAGCAAGTGGTCGCATATAGATGTTAAATAACAGAGGGGAGAGAATGGCCCCCTGAGGAACCTCACAAGATAGAGGGGACCTCTCAGAGACCAGGCCTCCCCTCTCCTCTCGCTGTCCACGGTTGTGAAGAAAGGAGGACAGCCAGTTTAAAGCTGTCCCCCTGACTCCAGCAACAGCAAAGCGGTGGGTCAAAAGATTGTRGTCAACTGTGTCAAATGCTGCTGTGAGACCAGTGCTGACCTGCCCTGGTCAAGCTGGCATCGAAGGTGATCCGTGATGGAGACCAGCACAGTCTCTGTCCCGTGCCCCGCACAGAAGCCGGACTGGAAGGGATCTAGTCTGGCTGTGTTGTCTAGGAATTGCTGCAACTGCTCCGCTGCTGCCCTCAATCACCTTGCCCAGGAACAAGAGATTCGAAACTCGGCGGTAACTGGAGGGAACCGAACAATCTAAGTCTGGTTTCTTCAGCAGGGGAGAGACCACCGCCTCTTTTAAACCCTCTGGAAAAACTCCTTGCTCAAGGGAGCTGTTTATAATCTTCAACAGAGGGTCGCGTAATCCCTCCAAGCAGGATTTCACCAACCAAGAGGGACACGGATCGAGGGAGCAAGTGGTTGGTCTAGCTGCAGCTATGAGTCTATCGACAGCCCCTGCATCCAGTGGGATGAACCGGTCGAGGATGGGCCCAGCAAGTGGCCACGGAGTCTCAAGTTCTCTCACTGTATCAATTGCCAGGCTATTCATTGCTAATCAAGCTGGCCAATTGCAACATTCACACTTGCCTCAAACAGACAAGAGTTCTTTGTCCCACCTTTGACATTCAACAGATCTATAAACCTCACTTGCCTAGTTTCCAACAGATCTCACCTCTGAGGATGTTTGCCATAGATGTGGGTGAAACGTCAGGAGAGAATGCTTCTGGAACATGGCCATACAGCCCAGAAAACTCACAACAACCCAGTGATTCAGACCATGAAAGCCTTCAACAAGACTGTTGAATAGATTTGCAGATACAGCTTCGGTTCTGTTCTACTCTGAGAAAATACTTTGTAATTGAAGGATGCTGAAGGCTAGCTCCCCTATGGGGGATACCACCATTTTACAATGGGGGACAATTATGTTGGTTCTTCACATTTGATAGTTCAAGAAAAACTGCAAGAAACTACAGATTCAAAGCAACCAACACAATCACATTGAAGAGGAGGGAAACTTGTTTTCTTCTGCTCTGGAGACTAGGACATGGAGCAATGGATTCAAATTGTAGAGAAAAAGATTCCACCTAAGCCTTAGGAAGAACTTTCTGATGGTAAGAGCTGTTCAGTATTGGAATATGCTGCCTTGGAGTATGGTGGAGTCTTATCTGGAGGTTTTTAAGCAGATGCTGGGTGGCCATCTGTTGGGGTGAATTATAGAGTTGGAAGACACCTTGTGGACCATCCAGTCCAACCCCCTTCCAAGAAGCAGGAAAATCGCATTGATTGTGCTTTGATTGTGTTCCTGCATGCCAGGGGTTTGGATTGGATGGCCCTTATGATCTCTTTCAACTCAAATCTTTCAATTCTTTCACATTTTGCTCAGTCCTAAAATATGCTAGAAGCTTGGGAACTGGAAAAATACTTCGCAAGCATCCCATGGATCTTTCAGTACTTTCATTGAAATGTTTCACTTTACAAACATCCAAGTCTATTTTGAGAAAGTGACTTGGGAGAATGAATTTGATTGCAAGGAAAGACAGAAATACAAAGTTTTAAAGTTCTGCTAATGTTCACAGCCGTAGTCCATTATAAGAAAAAATATCAACACATTGACATAATCATTTTATTAATGAATAAACATTTAAAAATGGTTAGCATACTCATAGGACTCTCAATTTGGCAATATTAACAAAGCAAAGGGATTTTGACCATATACAAGTAAATTAAGAAACCTCATTATCCTTTCAGTGTATTTATGTTTCACTAAGCGGTTTGTACTTGTTTTTGTTTACCTTGAAGTATAGCAACCCTAAGACAAGCCCATCTTGGATATTTCATGGCAGGATTTGTTCAGAAAAGGTTTCCACTGGGGCTGAGAGTGTGTGGCCCTAAGCTCGCTCATTGGGTTTCCATGGCCGAGTCATAATTCAAGCCCTGATCTCCAAAAGTCCCAATACAGAATTAAAATCACTATACCATCCTGGTATGGGGTTTATGAGCCTAAAATGATATATGAGCATGTCTTGAAAGGATGAGTTAACAGAAGGTGCCTGCATTTCTAATTTCAAATTCTGTATTCCAGTGTCATGTTTAAGGATTAATCTCATCCACAATCCCACTCTATTTGTAAAAACTTCATTGAAGACTTGTGTTAAAGATTCCTGTGCTGCTAGCAGCTGTTTAACAAACATATATAGTATAGTAAAGATAAAGGATTCCCCTCGACATTAAGTCTACTTGAGTCTGACTTGGGGGTGGTGCTCATCTCCATTTCTAAGCTGAAGAGCCAGCATTGTCTGTAGACACCTCCTAGGTCATGTGGCCAGCATGACTGCATGCAGCACCATTACCTTCCTGCCAAGGCAGTACCTATTGATCTCACATTTGCATGTTTTCCAAATGCTGGGTTGGCAAAAGCTGGGGCTAACAGCAAGACTTCATCCTGATCTGCGTATTTGAACTGCTGATGTGTTCGGCAAGTTCTACAGCTTCGTGGTTGCACCACTGCCGCCCCTCTGTGTGTGTGTAAGCTAAAATCCTCTTTTTCCATAATTTTTCTTCCTTACCTATGGAATTTTATTTGCTAAATATTAGATATGGTGGCTGTGAAAACACAGGTGCTCTGCAGGAAAAAAAGCAATTAATAATGTGATTTTTGAGACTATTTATGGAACTGTAAAATGAAAACTGAAACATCAAGTTAGTCATATAAATTTGAAAACAGAAACATAATCACACTAGGACAAAGGAAGTGGTAAATATGCATGTGTGTGACAAGCCTTCTTGAAAAAATGTATACTCTGGCTAATAAAAATCTAAGAAGGGTACATAATATGGTAGACATTACAAACTGATGGATACCACAAGAAAATGAGCATCATATAACTTAACATAAATACAATAATATATACCTACTTTTTCTAACAATCCCCAGCTCTTTTTTATCCACTGAACAGTATTTTGAAAATATGACTTCAACATTTTAAAGGCATATTCTGTTGTCAATGTATAGCAAAGTGCTTTTTTCAACCAAGCTGCAAACTTTTCTGCCAATGTGACCCCACTGAAGATGTGGGGTGCCTA